CGAATATCATGAATGGCCACTACTACTTGGTGCCGATTAGATAAGTAGGATCTGAACCAATCTAATATTGCCTTATCAAAACCCATTAGTTGTAACTTCTTCAATAAGACGCAATGATTAACTGTATCAAAAGCTTTTTGCAGATCAAGGAGCACCATACCAACAAAGCGCCCTTGGGAAGTTTCTCTCCTCAAATAATCAGTCAAATGAATTAGACATGTTTCAGTCGAATAATCATGTCGAAAACCAGATTGAAATTCATAAATTATATCATTTTCTTTGAAGTATCTTTCAATCTGAACACAGACCGATTTTTATAGAATCTTTGATGCTACGCTTAAAACACTAATAGGTCTATAGTTGCTAACATCAGTTTTATCTTTCTTTTTATAAAGTGGAGTCACTTTTGTTATTTTCATATCCTCTGGAAAAGTACTCGTCAAGATAGATAGGTTCATTAAGTAACTTAGAGGCTTAAATAAAACCTTCGCACCATGTTTTAGAAATTTAGCTGCAATCAAGTCTAACCCAGTACTTTTTGATACATTCAACTTACGTAACTCTTTGAAAACAAATTGTTCACTGATTGGTAATAACTCAAAGCTGTTTTCACGAACACCTTTTCTTTCGTAAAAGTCACGAATACAATCATTGTCTGCGCTGAAAAAGTCTTTGGAAGGGGGGAGTTTGTCTACAAATTTGGCAGCCACATTTGTGAAATGAGAATTGAATTTATCAGCGATGGCCATCTTATCATGACATAATTCCCCATCAATTTTAATGACAGATTCTTGTTCTTTTCGCTTCTTATATTTCAATCCTAAGCTTTTTAGATTCTGCCAAAGTTTTTTCGAATCTTGTTTATTTTCTTCTATCTTGTTTTGTAAGTAATCAAGTTTAGCCTTTTTCACCTCTCTTTGGACCATATTTCTTAATTCTCTGTATCTCTTATAGAGCTTCTCATCTTTTGCTCTTTTCCTCCATTTTTTGTATACTATATTTCTCTCTTGAATTAGGGAAAGAATATCTTTAGTCACCCAAGTTTCTGATCTTTGTTTTATTCTTATCCGTTTCAGTGGCGCTGTCATATTCAAATTTGAGATAAAAACATGTTGAAATATTGACCATGCCTCATTTACATCTGTACAGTCAGTTATTCGTGACCAATCAACAACAGATAGTTGAAGATTGAAAGACTCTTCTGTATATTTTTTCATGGGTCTGATATCATTAGTCCTGTGATGACCTATAGCCAGTCTAACATTTTTCCGTGTACAGAAAGTAAAATAATGGTCGCTATACCTAGATCAATGACACCACTTTGACTTATTTTATTTTCTTTGGTACAACCAACATGATCCAATACAGAAGAACGTGTAGGTGTAACGCGTGTTGCCTCTTTAATGAGTTGACTAAACCCATGAAGACTCAACAAGTCAATATATTTTTTAGCCAGTGGCGATTTGCGAAGAAGACAAATATTCATGTCTCCTAAAAGAATTATTTCGTCATCCTTCTCTAATGTATCAAGAATATTGGACAATTTCTCGATAAACAAATTGTTTTTCGGAGGTCGATACGGAACGCCAACAATTGGTTTTGATCTTGGTATAAGCAAATTTATCCACAGGGATTTCGTATCTCCAGTACTTATAGCATCCATAATATTAAATGCAATATAATTTCTGATATAGAAACATACACCACCTCCAGAGCCAGAGGATCGATCATGGCGTATGATTTTATATCCGTCTATTTCAATTTCTTCATCATTTATGGAATTGTTTAACCATGTTTCAGTGAAAGCAATAACAGACAGCCTTCTTCTTTTAAAAAGAATTCTAAGTTCCGATATCTTGTTAAGAATAGACCTTACATTAAGGTGTAAAAAATGAAGACCTTTAATTTTAAACTTTTCTTCAAATTCTTGATAAAGAGAAGTGTTTTCATCTCTGAGGTTTGGCTGAATTACTCTTGCTATCGCTTGCTTTTCAGGTGTAACGCGCGTTACCTTAAAATAGTTTTCTTTTAGTCTATCCTCGTTTTGGCTTTCTTTCTCTAAACAATCGTCAGTAAATATTGAGTCACAAAACGATGGCAGACAACATGTTAAACAATTCCACTTCTCATCAGGGCAATCATAATATAACCTTCAGTACTCTGAAAAACTGATAGCTTGACAATTAGTGTGAAACCATTTTTTACAATAAGAACACAGAAGGCCGTGTTGATTACATTTGACTGGCTTATCACAGTTCCCACAAGGGAATTTATATTTTCGACCGTCAACTATAATTTTCGGATCATCACTAGATTTTGTCAAACTTTCACTTAATTCAATACCCTTCTTACAAATTGAAGATATTTCGCCCAGTCTTTCATGTCCACCTTGGATGGACAACGTCCAAAAAATAGATTTATCAAATGAACTGCACACTTTGGAGAAGAAAAAAAATCTTAAATAGCTCTAGTTCTAGATCTAGAAAAGTTACGACAACTTGACAAGCTGGACACGCACAACATCTAAACATTAAATAAATGAATCCTAGGTCTAGCCGTTTGTTTGTTTCTGAATATTTTTATTCCAGGTTTACGTCTAAATGAAAAATGGTTTGGAGCTGTTTGATTATCCATGGTCACAAACAATTTTGGTCTAAAAATTGACACGCACCAATGATGCAACTGAGCGAACGGATGGCACTAAGTAGGCCTATAGCCAACAGAGTCCACATCTACTAAAGATATAAACAAGAATTAACCCTCTTGGATTATTAAAGAAGTCATACTTCATAGATTATTTTAAGGTGTAACGTTTAATCTAGATTCAAATTCAATGGATGATTGGTGAATTAGATTCACGATGACGATCAAATTTGGAATAAAACCTGATTAGAAAGTTTTATCTTGATGCAGATGAGCACCGAAATTTCCCGGGTTGGGCCTGCCAGAACCCCGGGGCTCTAAAGGGTGACATGACGGCAAACCGCAGTCAAACTACTTCACGACGATGAAAATCAAAGTGCAATTTCAAGAGAAATATTTTCCTAGCCTTTTCCCCAAAAATCTGTTGAGAACAGTCTCAAAATGTAAAGAAATTACAGTAGATCACGAATTACAGCTTTTTCAAATTAATGACTAAATTCTCTTAATCTACTGATATTTCAATCAATTACTCACCCATAATGCATTCTCCGTGAACTAAATCTTCTCACTTTGTGGGAGTATATAGCGCGCGCCGTGCATGAATCTGCGACCTCAGCTCAACATACAGTTCCCACCTCGGTTATATGAATATCCCAGCTAATCGAGACTTTCCCCGACCCTGCGTAATGAATATTCATGATAAAATAGGAATCCGGGCTCGCCGCCGTGGTACGAAAAAATAAAACGCGCGCGGCGTATGGTATGCGCATGGTTTGCTGCCTGCTTAATATTGCGCGCTCACTTATCGGCAATTTCATGAATTAAAAACAAACAAGAAATCGCTGAGATTTAGGCCCAGAAAAACTGTTTTAAGCCCATAAACGTCCGAGGTGTTGTATAAAAAAGTGAATGGTCTTTATTCGTGCAATGGAACAATATTTTGCATTCGGTAAAAGATGAGACGCTCCATTAGGGTCTCTTCAAGTCTTATCTTTCACCTCGTGCAAAATCTTGTATTGCACTCATGGCCATTCACTAATCATGATGAACCTTAATACAAACAAATTACATGATCTCTCTATGGTGTGAAATGTGGTTACAATAATACTTGCGCCTTTGCGAAGCATACAATTATAATTCTTATTACATGATAAAAACAAATATCCAAGGTCTTCTTTTTACACATATCCTGTATCCCGTCAAGTGAAGATTAATCTTTCAAAACGGATGTGTGTTTTTTCCGTCAAATTCATTGCCTTTGGAAATCAATTTTCACATGTTTAGTCGTTTGTGCTGCCGATTCGTGTATGAGTAGAGGAGCTTGTACTGATGGAGATCCCACCGTTACGTGCGTATGTGATGCTGGCTACACTGGGACTACCTGTCAAACTGGTAAGCATTAACTTCTAATTAGATAACAATCTTACATACATGCATTTTTTATGTAAAGCAAAATCCAATGAAATTCTCATTCGTTGCTTATAAAGAAATTATAGATACAGAGCGAAGAAGGAAACAGAAAAGAAGAAATTACAGTGATTGTTGAGGAAACTCTTTGAGTTTCTTGTTACTTGACAGTCAACAGAAGTAAAAGTACAGACATACAGATTTGAACTTTGAAAGAGATATTAAGTCCATTTACTTGGTTGCATTTATTTACTTATAGTTTCACAAATGAGGTAACTCTTTCTCTCACTGTCGGTAATCGAATTGAAGATTTTTCCAGATACAGTTCGAGGATTTTTCTCATTCTTGATAGGAAGTGATAGAAACTCCCCTCCTTTTGATTTCGAGTAGACACTTGAAGTATGGAAGTGCATGGTCATCTACAAAACAGCAGATTTGATATACCGGTAGTGATTCCAACAACGATCTCCATTGATAAAGATTCTGTTTAAGGATACGTTGAAACTAACACATGTCATTGTGATCACAACGATTCCACTTTGGGCGATAACATGTCTTGCAACGTATTCAATGTATAGGTTATTTTTGCGTCAATTTTTACATTAAATTCAACCCAAGATGAAGAAATCACTTGCTTTCTGTTATTTTTGATCAATCAGGAGCACATTCTTTAAGATTTGCGATTAAATTATCTTTTTTCCAAAATTTCAAAGGCCATATTTTGGAAAAGAATTGAACTTTGAAAGAGATATTCAGTCCATTAGAGTTTCACAAATGAGGTAACTCTTTCTCTCACTGTGGTTAATCGAATTGAAGATACCACTTTTGACTCTATTTTCCTGTAATCCGTCAGGTAAAGTTTAATCTGTCAAAAATGTTTGTTTTTTTCTCGTCATCTTTATCAAATTCATTGCCTTTGAAAATCAATTTTCACATGTTTAGTCGTTTGTGCTGCCGACACGTGTATGAGTAGAGGAGCTTGTACTGATGGAGATCCCACCGTTACGTGCGTATGTGATGCTGGCTACACTGGGAGTACCTGTGAAATTGGTAAGCTTTAGCTTTTTTATTATATTACAATCATGCATACATGCATTTTTCATGTAAAGCAAAATCCAATGAAATTCTCATTCGTTGCTTATTAAAAAATTATAGATACAGAGCGAGCAAGGAAACAGAAAAAAAGAAATTACAGTGATTGTTGAGGAAACTCTTTGAGTTTCTTCTTACTTGAGAGTCAATAAAGTAAAAGTACAGACATACAGATTTGAACTTTGAAAAAGATATTAAGTCCATTTACTTGGTTGGATTTATTGACTTATAGTTTCACAAATGAGGTAACTCTTTCTCTCACTGTCGTTAATCGAATTGAAGATTTTTTCCAGATACGGTTCGTAGATGTTTCTAATTCTTGTTAGGAATTGATAGAAACTCTCCTCCTTTTGATTTCGAGTAGGCACTGTCTTGAAGTATGGAAGTGCATGGTCATCTACAAAACAGCAGATTTGATATACCGGTAGTGATTCCAACAACGATCTCCATTGATAAAGATTCTGTTTAAGGATACGTTGAAACTAACACATGTCATTGTGATCACAACGATTCCACTTTGGACGATAACATGTCTTGCAACGTATTCAATGTATAGGTAATTTTTGCGTCAATTTTTACATTAAATTCAACCCAAGATGAAGAAATCACTTGCTTTCTGTTATTTTTGATCAATCAGGAGCACATTCATTAAGATTTGCGATTAAATTATCTTTTTTCCAAAATTTCAAACGCCATATTTTAGAAAAGAATTGAACTTTGAAAGAGATATTCAGTCCATTTTCTTTTATTGACTTAGAGTTTCACAAATGAGGTAACTCTTTCTCTCACTGTGGTTAATCGAATTGAAGATACCACTTTTGACTCTATTTTCCTGTAATCCGTCAGGTAAAGTTTAATCTGTCAAAAATGTTTGTTTTTTTCTCGTCATCTGTATCAAATTCATTGCCTTTGAAAATCAATTTTCACATGTTTAGTCCTTTGTGCTGCCGACTCGTGTATGAGTAGAGGATTTTGTACTGCTGGAGATCCCACCGTTACGTGCGTATGTGATGCTGGCTACACTGGGAGTACCTGTGAAATTGGTAAGCTTTAGCTTTTTTATTATATTACAATTGTAAAGCAAAATCCAATGAAATTCTCATTCCTTGCTTATTAAAAAATTATAGATACAGAGCGAGCAAGGAAACAGAAAGAAAGAAATTACAGTGATTGTTGAGGAAACTCTTTGAGTTTCTTTTTACTTGAGAGTCAATAAAGTAAAAGTACAGACATACAGATTTGAACTTTGAAAAAGATATCAAGTCCATTTACTTGGTTGGATTTATGGACTTATAGTTTCACAAATGAGGTAACTCTTTCTCTCACTGTCGTTAATCGAATTGAAGATTTTTTCCAGATAGAGTTCGTAGATGTTTCTCATTCTTGTTAGGAATTGATAGAAACTCTCCTCTTTTTGATTTCGAGTAGGCACTGTCTTGAAGTATGGAAGTGCATGGTCATCTACAAAACAGCAGATTTGATATACCGGTAGTGATTCCAACAACGATCTCCATTGATAAAGATTCTGTTTAAGGATACGTTGAAACTAACACATGTCATTGTGATCACAACGATTCCACTTTTGGCGATAACATGTCTTGCAACGTATTCAATGTATAGGTAATTTTTGCGTCAATTTTTACTTTAAATTCAACCCAAGAGGAAGAAATCGCTTGCTTTCTGTTATTTTTGATCAATCAGGAGCACATTCATTAAGATTTGCGATTAAATTATCTTTTTTCCAAAATTTCAAAGGCCATATTTTGGAAAAGAATTGAACTTTGAAAGAGATATTCAGTCCATTTTCTTTTATTGACTTAGAGTTTCACAAATGAGGTAACTCTTTCTCTCACTGTGGTTAATCGAATTGAAGATACCACTTTTGACTCTATTTTCCTGTAATCCGTCAGGTAAAGTTTAATCTGTCAAAAATGTTTGTTTTTTTCTCGTCATCTGTATCAAATTCATTGCCTTTGAAAATCAATTTTCACATGTTTAGTCCTTTGTGCTGCCGACTCGTGTATGAGTAGAGGATCTTGTACTGCTGGAGATCCAACCGTTACGTGCGTATGTGATGCTGGCTACACTGGGAGTACCTGTGAAATTGGTAAGCTTTAGCTTTTTTAGTATATTACAATTGTAAAGCAAAATCCAATGAAATTCTCATTCCTTGCTTATTAAAAAATTATAGATACAGAGCGAGCAAGGAAACAGAAAGAAAGAAATTACAGTGATTGTTGAGGAAACTCTTTGAGTTTCCTTTTACTTGAGAGTCAATAAAGTAAAAGTACAGACATACAGATTTGAACTTTGAAAAAGATATTAAGTCCATTTACTTGGTTGGATTTATTGACTTATAGTTTCACAAATGAGGTAACTCTTTCTCTCACTGTCGTTAATCGAATTGAAGATTTTTTTTTCCAGATAGAGTTCGTAGATGTTTCTCATTCTTGTTAGGAATTGATAGAAACTCTCCTCCTTTTGATTTCGAGTAGGCACTGTCTTGAAGTATGGAAGTGCATGGTCATCTACAAAACAGCAGATTTGATATACCGGTAGTGATTCCAACAACGATCTCCATTGATAAAGATTCTGTTTCAGGATACGTTGAAACTAACACATGTCATTCTGATCACAACGATTCCACTTTAGGCGATAACATGTCTTGCAACGTATTCAATGTATAGGTAATTTTTGCGTCAATTTTTACATTAAATTCAACCCAAGATGAAAAAATCACTTGCTTTCTGTTATTTTTGATCAATCAGGAGCACATTCATTAAGATTTGCGATTAAATTATCTTTTTTCCAAAATTTCAAAGGCCATATTTTGGAAAAGAATTGAACTTTGAAAGAGATATTCAGTCCATTAGAGTTTCACAAATGAGGTAACTCTTTCTCTCACTGTGGTTAATCGAATTGAAGATACCACTTTTGACTCTATTTTCCTGTAATCCGTCAGGTAAAGTTTAATCTGTCAAAAATGTTTGTTTTTTTCTCGTCATCCGTATCAAATTCATTGCCTTTGAAAATCAATTTTCACATGTTTAGTCCTTTGTGCTGCCGACTCGTGTATGAGTAGAGGATCTTGTACTGCTGGAGATCCCACCGTTACGTGCGTATGTGATGCTGGCTACACTGGGAGTACCTGTGAAATTGGTAAGCTTTAGCTTTTTTATTATATTACAATTGTAAAGCAAAATCCAATGAAATTCTCATTCCTTGCTTATAAAAAAATTATAGATACAGAGCGAGCAAGGAAACAGAAAGAAAGAAATTACAGTGATTGTTGAGGAAACTCTTTGAGTTTCTTTTTACTTGAGAGTCAATAAAGTAAAAGTACAGACATACAGATTTGAACTTTGAAAAAGATATCAAGTCCATTTACTTGGTTGGATTTATTGACTTATAGTTTCACAAATGAGGTAACTCTTTCTCTCACTGTCGTTAATCGAATTGAAGATTTTTTCCAGATAGAGTTCGTAGATGTTTCTCATTCTTGTTAGGAATTGATAGAAACTCTCCTCTTTTTGATTTCGAGTAGGCACTGTCTTGAAGTATGGAAGTGCATGGTCATCTACAAAACAGCAGATTTGATATACCGGTAGTGATTCCAACAACGATCTCCATTGATAAAGATTCTGTTTCAGGATACGTTGAAACTAACACATGTCATTGTGATCACAACGATTCCACTTTAGGCGATAACATGTCTTGCAAGGTATTCAATGTATAGGTAATTTTTGCGTCAATTTTTACATCAAATTCAACCCAAGATGAAGAAATCACTTGCTTTCTGTTATTTTTGATCAATCAGGAGCACATTCATTAAGATTTGCGATTAAATTATCTTTTTTCCAAAATTTCAAAGGCCATATTTTGGAAAAGAATTGAACTTTGAAAGAGATATTCAGTCCATTTTCTTTTATTGACTTAGAGTTTCACAAATGAGGTAACTCTTTCTCTCACTGTGGTTAATCGAATTGAAGATACCACTTTTGACTCTATTTTCCTGTAATCCGTCAGGTAAAGTTTAATCTGTCAAAAATGTTTGTTTTTTTCTCGTCATCCGTATCAAATTCATTGCCTTTGAAAATCAATTTTCACATGTTTAGTCCTTTGTGCTGCCGACTCGTGTATGAGTAGAGGATCTTGTACTGCTGGAGATCCCACCGTTACGTGCGTATGTGATGCTGGCTACACTGGGAGTACCTGTGAAATTGGTAAGCTTTAGCTTTTTTATTATATTACAATTGTAAAGCAAAATCCAATGAAATTCTCATTCCTTGCTTATTAAAAAATTATAGATACAGAGCGAGCAAGGAAACAGAAAGAAAGAAATTACAGTGATTGTTGAGGAAACTCTTTGAGTTTCTTTTTACTTGAGAGTCAATAAAGTAAAAGTACAGACATACAGATTTGAACTTTGAAAAAGATATTAAGTCCATTTACTTGGTTAGATTTATTGACTTATAGTTTCACAAATGAGGTAACTCTTTCTCTCACTGTCGTTAATCGAATTGAAGATTTTTTTCCAGATAGAGTTCGTAGATGTTTCTCATTCTTGTTAGGAATTGATAGAAACTCTCCTCCTTTTGATTTCGAGTAGGCACTGTCTTGAAGTATGGAAGTGCATGGTCATCTACAAAACAGCAGATTTGATATACCGGTAGTGATTCCAACAACGATCTCCATTGATAAAGATTCTGTTTAAGGATACGTTGAAACTAACACATGTCATTGTGATCACAACGATTCCACTTTGGGCGATAACATGTCTTGCAACGTATTCAATGTATAGGTAATTTTTGCGTCAATTTTTACATTAAATTCAACCCAAGATGAAGAAATCACTTGCTTTCTGTTATTTTTGATCAATCAGGAGCACATACATTAAAGATAAACTCCAGTTCTGGTAAAAAAAAAAAAATTAATTCTCACAGAATCAAACGAAAATTACACTGAATGTTCAAGATTACAAATAAATGACATGTGCCAAACAAATTTGAAAGAAAATGTATACTGGCTGAGTAATGAGCATAGAAAGACAAGGAAATCAAGGTAGTACTAGCCCCGACACCATGTGTGTTGTCTCATAGCTTTCTGTGTACAGTGCCTGTTACTTTACCAAGACTCGGTCAATTTTGATGACTCCAGAACCTTGCAGTGCACTTAAATTCCAAACCAGTGGAGCGGTTTGGTCCTTAACGATAAATGTGAAATTCGTTATTTATTTTAGTATATTTTCTTTACTTTCAGTCGTGGTCTGTTCTGCGGAAATCCCGTGTATGAACATAGGTACATGTGACAACAATGTATGTACATGTGCTTCGGCGTATTATGGAGCTACATGCGCTGACACAAGTAAGATATAATAATATTCAGTTTTTATATAGCGTAAATTACAATTGAGTCTCTAAGCGCTATGGAAATAGAAGAAAATCAAATAGCATGGTAAATATCCAAACTAAAAAGTACATTGTATTGCATAAAGACTGGTACGAAAATACGTCGTATTGGTAAACAAAACTTATATTTTTAGAAAGAAAAAAGTCTGATCTTTCATTTTTATATTTACAAAAAATCACGAAAATGACTGAATGAGGCGCAATGAGCAATGAAAGTAGAAAGCACCGCCAAATTCTCCATTACTGGCGATGTAACCGAAATCGCTCCGTCACAGGGGAAACAATCACAATGCGCGGACTCGCTTTCAAAGGGTTAACACTGTGACATGGAATTTGTGTCATGTTATGGTCATATTATGACTTCAGCCTCCTAATACATTTTAAGATCGTCAATGTAACTTTTAGCCCCCATTTTTCCATAAAGAAGTTGAACAAGTCGAACTATTTGATAATTTGACAATCTAAAGTACACTATTCTTAAATGCTTTTGGAACGGTTCGGTCGAGAACGATGAATGTAAAAACTTTTATTGACTTCAGGATATTTTCTCTCCTCTCTGTAGTCGATTGTACAAGTGGCAACCCGTGTCTGAACGGTGGTACCTGTGAGAACGATGCATGTACATGTGCTGGTGGATTTACAGGATCTGTGTGTGACAGAGGTACGTTAATATTTCATTCTCACTGGCTTAATAAAGAGGTTGGGTCCAGAGAGATTGACGGAAGAAAAGAAGAGAAAAGAAAGTGATAATTTATTTAAGCCCAAAGAGTAGAAGAGAGGAAAAAGAGGAAGCGATAGAGAGAAAAAAATTGAATGATTGAAAAAAAGAAATCGCTACCCTGTGTAACGGGTCGGTAGCGTATTGGATAAGATGTACATGTGCTTCGGGATTTAATGGAGCTTTGTGTAGTACATGTATTAAAGGTACTATGTCCGTTTGCAGTAAAAAAAAAAATGAAAAGGTTAAATTCCACCGGACGTTGAAAGTAAATACTAATTTAGAACTTCCTTAAAAAAGGGGGGCTTCAAAATGTCTTGAAGTGGGAAAGCAACGACTATAAGTTGTCGAATCGACTTAAGAGCTATAGAGCCAGTAAGTAATAGTCTGATTTTCAGACCATTGTACCGAATGGTCGTACGTTTGATGCTGCGCAAAAATTCAATCAGTTTAATTGTGGCCATTACAAGAAGTGGGTTATGGATGTAGACAAATGCTCATGTACCCGTTACAGCCCATTTCATGTATGTTTATTACCAAAGAAGTAAAAAAAAAAAAAAAAAAAAAGCCAGTCAGTCACTCAATAGTGTAGACAGTGAAGTCTAGCAAGTAAACGGGTTTCTTTGCATGATTTTATCATTAGGACTCTGCTAACGTTTAAATTTCACAGATAGGACATTCATAAAATATTCATAATTTCTGCAAAGTTCTCCAGAATTTGATGTTGGCTGCAAAAAAGGGCATATTATCTTTAAAACCCAATGTATCATAATTTTGATCCCCGTAGAACTTACCATGAATTTTTGTTTCAATAAGGGTCTAGTACCTGTACTAGACAAAGCTCCATTAAACCCCGAAGCACATGTACATGTCCGCGGTTAAAGTCCCTCCGCGGCACTAATGTCCTTTGGCAAGACTTAATAATTGAAACTCAATTTGCACAGATATCGACGAATGTGCTTCCACTCCGTGTATGGCTAATGAAGATTGTACCAATGGATTGAACATGTATACATGTGCGTGCTCTGCTGGTTATGCTGGGTCTCCGTGTGCAGGTAAGCTATCAAGTCAAAGCAGATTACATACAAACACCTATTACATACAGCAAATGCTTCTTTCTCATCAAGACATTATAGATACCTAGGCTTTCATTCTTCGTATCAGAGTCAAATTCAACTCACGGTTTGCATCTCCACTCGATCAACAGTGAAAAGTCACAATGTTAATTAATTAAATAGCTATTTTTTAGTTGGCCCAGCGACGGCCTGACGTAAAAAGTTAATGAATCAGTTTATCTTCCCAAATTACAAAAGTGTGAATCAAGCTACAGTGTCGAATATAAATGAGAAGGTTGACAAATTGTTAGGCTACCCCGGGTCCTTTCGCTAAAAATAGTCCGTTCCGTCACAAAATTATTTTTCACTCTTTCGTTTATAACACAAGATGGCGCTATTCAATGAAATCAGAACAATTATTCCGGCACCTTGATTTTCATGAGACAAGTCGCTGAAAACGTACTCCAAACTACAATTTATTAACAATCTATATCCATAACTTTATGATCAATTTTGAAAAATGAACACTTATTTTCGTTTATTGCAACAAACGTGCAGAACAAAGCTTTTATTCTTATCATACGATATTTTTAGAATTGATGGTATTTGCTAATTAGTTTAGAATATACACTTTCAGTGAAACAAGATTAGTAGGTGACTGTTTACTATGTTTCGATGTTCAATGATATTGTAATCCATACCAAGTATTCGTTATCAAGTCTCCAAACACTGTGTTGATGTTGTCCAAAACACTGTGTTTCTTCACAATATCCAGACTAGAATATAGTTTTGTTTCACCTGACGAATGAACATTAATATTCCTATTACAAAATAGAGAACACATTAAACATTTAAAGAGATATTTAGTTCATGTTATGTATTGATAATTCTACGAAGGAGGTTATTCATTTCTTAACTCTCATTATTTAAAATGCAAGTTTTGACTTAATTTTCCTGTTAATCACTTTTTCTTCGAGGGCCACATCAAGGACTGTCAGACAACGAAACTTGTTTTAGAGATTTTTTTTCTTTTTCTAAGTCCATGAATTTGGAGAAAAAAATCGGACAAATCAAGATAGATTTAGTTTGTTTACTTTATTTTATTTTTTTATTAAAAGTTTTACAAATGAAGTAGATTTTTTCTCAATTATCATTAATTTGCATTTAAAAACAATTTTTACTGGATTTTCCTGCTAATCGCTAAAAATATAAATATCTGACAACATGGAAATTATTTTCTTGTCACTTTCATTCCAATGATTATCATTGAAACTCAATTTGCACAGATATCGACGAATGTGCTTCCAGTCCGTGTACAGCTGAAGAGGATTGCACTAATGGATTGAACATGTATACTTGTGAGTGCTCTGCTGGTTATGCTGGGACTCCGTGTGCAGGTAAGCTATCAAATCAAAGCAGATTACATACAAACACCTATTACATAAATCAAATGCTTCTTTCTCATCAAGACATTATAGATACCTAGGCTTTCATGCTTCGTATCAGAGTCAAATTCAACTCACGGTTGCATCTCCACTCGATCAACAGTGAAAAGTCACAATGTTGGCCCTTTTTAGTAATTCCCAGCGACGGCCTGACGTAAAAAGTTAACGAATCATTTTATCTTCCCAAATTACAAAAGTGTGAATCAAGCTACAGTGTCGAACATAAATGAGAAGGTTGACAAATTGTTAGGCTACCCCGGGTCCTATCGCTAAAAATAGTCCATTCCGTCACAAAATTATTTTTCACTCTTTCGTTTATAATACAAGATGGCGCTATTCAATGAAATCAGCACTAATATTCCGGCACCTTGATTTTTATGAGACAAGTCGCTGAAAACATACTCCAAACTACAATTTATTAACAATCTATATCCATAACTTTATGAACAATTTTGAAAAGTGAACACTTATTATCGTTTATTGCAACAAAGGTGCAAAACAAAGCTTTCATTCTTATTATACGATACTTTTAAAATTGATGGTACTTGCTAATTAGTTTAGAATATACCCTTTCAGTGAAACAAGATTAGTAGGTGACTGTTTACTATGTTTCGATGTTCAATGATATTGTAATCCATACCAAGTATTCGTTATCAAGTCTCCAAACACTGTGTTGATGTTGTCCAAAACACTGTGTTTCTTCACAATATCCAGACTAGAATAAAGTTTTGTTTCATCTGACGAATGAACATTAATATTCCTTTTACAAAATAGAGAACACATTAAATATTTAAAGAGATATTTAGTTCATGTTATGTATTAATAATTCTACGAAGGAGGTTATTCATTTCTTAGCTCTCATTATTTAAAATGCAAGTTTTGACTTAATTTTCTTGTTATTCACTTTTTCTTCGAGGGCCACATCAAGGACTGTCAGACAACGAAACTTGTTTTAGAGATTTTTTTTCTTTTTCTAAGTCCATGAATTTGGAGAAAAAAATCGGACAAATCAAGATAGATTTAGTTTGTTTACTTTATTTTATTTTTTCATTAAAAGTTTTACAAATGAAGTAGATTTTTTTTCAATTATCATTAATTTGCATTTAAAAACAATTTTTACTGGATTTTCCTGTTAATCGCTAAAAATAGAAATATCTGACAACATGGAAATTATTTTCTTGTCACTTTCATTCCAATGATTATCACTGAAACTCAATTTGCGCAGATATCGACGAATGTGCTTCCATTCCGTGTATGGCTAATGAAGATTGTACCAATGGAGTGAACATGTATACATGTGCGTGCTCTGCTGGTTATGCTGGGACTCCATGTGCAGGTAAGCTATCAAGTCAAAGCAGATTACATACAAACACCTATTACATAAAGCAAAATAATGCTCCTTTCTCATCAAGACCTTATAGATACCTAGGCTTTCATGCTTCGTATCAGAGTCAAATTCAACTCACAGTTTGCATCTCCTCTCGATCAACAGTGAAATGTTACAATGTTAATTCATTTTAATGACCTTTTTTATTTGATTACCGGCGACGTCTACTTGCTAATTTGTTTAGAATATAAACCTTTCAGTGAAACAAATGTTTAAGTCGTTGGCTGTAACTATAGTTCGATGTTCAACGATATTGTAATCCATACCAAGTATTTGTTATCTAGTCTCCGAACTCCGTGTTGTTTTTGTCCAAAACACTGTGTTTCTTCACAATATCCAGACTAGAATATAGTTTTATTTTTCACCTGACGACTGAACATTAATATCCCCATTACAAAAATAATATATCCATATAAAACATTAAAAGAGATATTTAGTTCATTTACTTTGTTTAAGTTATGTATTGTTGTAGTTTTACGAATGAGGTTGTCAATTCATTAACTGTCTTATTTAAAATGCCAGTTTTAAATTAATTTTCCTATCATCCGTTAAAAAAAGATAAAGTGGTCAAAAGTAAAATTATTTTCTAGTCGCTTTTATTCTATTCTTGTCTTTGGAACTCAATTTGCACAGATATCGACGAATGTGCTTCCAGTCCGTGTATGGCTAATGAAGATTGTACCAATGGATTGAACATGTATACATGTGCGTGCTCTGCTGGTTATGCTGGGACTCCGTGTGCAGGTAAGCTATCAAGTCCAAGCAGATTACATACAAACACCTATTACATACAGCAAATGCTCCTTTCTCATCAAGACATTATAGATACCTATAGTGGCGTAATGAGCAAAAACGTTTGGGGGGGCTGACCAAAAAAAAATCGCAGCACCCCACTCTAACATGCATACCCCGCTGAACGTTTCGCAAAGTAGGGTCTAGGGGCAAAGCCCCGGCTAGGGCCAAGGGGCGGAGCCCCCGAAGCTCAAGGGGTATGGGCGTCAGTGGAGGATCCAGGAATTTCTTACTGGGGGGGGGGCACAAAATGGAATGGGGTTAAATATATGTAACACGATGAAGCGACAGAGCGAGGCTTTAGCAGCGAGGAAGCGGAGCGACCAAGCGGGGTGGGTCAGAGTAAGAAGCATTTGAAATTTTAGAACCAAATTAAACGCATTTTCAGGCACTTCCTGGAGTAATATGACGTCAAATTGCTTTCTCCTACCCGTTCCAGGAGTAGGGATCTTTTGCAATTTGAGAAACACATTTGGCGCATTAATGTCCACAGGTACTTCCTGGAAAAAATCGAGGCCTTCTGATTGATTAGAAGTTAGAGAAAAGTGATCTGTCACATCCTGAGACGTTGTATATGCTTTGATGCCGCACAATGCACAAAGACGGTGGTCCGGTACTTCATCAGTAGTACTTGCAAACATTTTCTCGAGTGTATAAACTGTGTGGTTATCAGGGGCATCGCTCGATCCGTTGTACTGTTTTCGACTCTTAATTCTTGTTTGGATCCAGTTTCCTCCTCCCCCACCCGCCCGAAGCGCGGCAATTTTGACGTTTCAATAAATTATTACTCTTAATCCTTCTCTGAATTCATTTTCGCCCATACCGCGCGAAGCGCGGAAGCCTTGACGTTTCATTAAATTATTAGAGAAAGAAGACGATTCGTTTTATCGTGTTTTTGTCTGAATTCAGTTTCCCACTCCCGCGCGAAGCGCGAAGCTTTGACACTTCATTAAATTATTAGAGAAAGAAGTCGATTCATTGTACCGGTTCCGACTGTTAATCCTTGTCTGAATTCATTTTCGCCCATCTCGGGTGAAGCGCGGAAACTTTGACGTTTCATTAAACTTGTACTCTTAATCCTTGTCTGAATTCATTTTCGCCCATCCCGCGTGAAGCGCGGAAGCTTTCACGTTTCATTATATTATTAGAGAAAGAAGACGATTCGTTGTATCGTATTCTTGTCTGAATTCAGTTTACCCCCCCCCCCCCCCCCCTCCCGCGCAAAGCGCGAAAACTTTGAAAGAAGACGATTCATTGTACCGGTTCCGACTCTTAATCCTTGTCTGAAATCATATTCGCCCACCCGCGCGAAGCGCGGAAGCTTTCACGTTTCATTAAATTATCAGAGAAAGAAGACGATTCGTTGTATCGTATACTTGTCTGAATTCAGTTTATCCCCCCCCCCCCTCCCGCGCAAAGCGCGAAAACTTTGACACTTCATTAATATATTATTATTAAAGAAGGGAAACGATTCGTTGTACCGTTCTCGACTCTTAATCCTAGTCTGAATTAAGTTCCCCCCCCCCGAAGCGCGAAAGCTTTGCCGTTTCATTAAATAATTAGAGAAAGAAGACGATTCGTTGAACCGTTCACTACTCTTAATCTTGTTTGAATTCAATTTCCCCAATGGGCCCCCTTACCGGTACATGTGCAGTGTTACATGATGTAAGTATGGAACGCCCGGCCGTGCTTGTCACAGTTGCTTCTAGAAAGGATTCTTTTTTTACTAGTGTTACTGATAGTTGCCACGGCCCCTTAGTGACTATAAAAAAACATTTGCTCTTCCTGGTCATTTGGGAATGTGACAGTTCGCAACAGAAATGGAGAAACGCGCATTTTGTTGAAAATCATGTGATTTCACGAACATTTATACATCACTTGTATATGGAATTGAAAATAAGTCATGGTTCAATTTTATTTGGGGGGGGGGGCTGGCGCCCCCCCCCCCCACCAGTACGCCAGTGGATACCTAGGCTTTCATGCTTCGTATCAGAGTCAAATTTAATTCACGGTTTGCATCTCCACTTGATCAACAGTGAAAAGTTTCAGTGTTAATTAATCTAAATAGCTATTTTTTAGTTGACCCAGCGACGGCCTGACGTAAAAAGTTAATGAATCAGTTTATCTTCCCAAATTACAAAAGTGTGAATCAAGCTACAGTGTCTAACATAAATGAGAAGGTTGACAAATTGTTAGGCTACCCCGGGTCCTTTCGCTAAAAATAGTCCATTCCGTCACAAAATTATTTTTCACTCTTCCGTTTATAACACAAGATGGCGCTATTCAATGAAATCAGCACTATTATTCCGGCACCTTGACTTTCATGAGACAAGTCGCTGAAAACGTACTCCAAACTGCAATTTATTAACAATCTACATCCATAACTTTATGAACAATTTTGAAAAATGAACCCTTATTTTCGTTTATTGCAACAAACGTGCAAAACAAAGCTTTCATTCTTATTATACGATACTTTTAAAATTGATGGTACTTGCTAATTAGTATAGAATAGATACCCTTTCAGTGAAACAAGATTAGTAGGTGACTGTTTACTATGTTTCGATGTTCAATGATATTGTAATACATACCAAGTATTCGTTATCAAGTCTCCAAACACCGTGTTGATGTTGTCCAAAACACTGTGTTTCTTCACAATATCCAGACTAGAATATAGTTTTGTTTCACCTGACGAATGAAAATTAATATTCCTATTACAAAATAGAGAACACATTAAACATTATTTTAAAGAGATAGTTAGTTCATGTTATGAAAAGAATATCCTATCTCTTCAGAACACCCACCTGTTACAAGCCATATATGCAACAACAACAAAATCATATGAAAGGGTTCGAGATCATGACGACCAAATAATGCATCCGGAGTCAGTGAAGTAGAGTCTGTACTTTATTGTTTTCTCTTCGTTAAACAGCCTCGGCCAATACTAGCCAAAACGCTAAACAACAGTGACCGTATGCATGCTACCAAGTATCATATCCACAGCAGACTTAAACAAAGTCTGATCACATTTCCTCCTACAGCAGGCCAAATGTACAAGTGCTTGCAGTCCTATCACATAGCTTAGAATCGCTACCTGCCTGCTATAGCATGCACCAATGCTAGCAATCACACAAAAGAAATCCACTCATGCAAAGAGTTCAATAGAGATACCCCCAAAAAAGGCGGGAAACAGTACAATGGGAACCCCTCTAGAGGGGAAACAATACATTGGGAATCCCTCTAGAGGGGAAACAATTTGTCATTGACTGAAGAAGCAAGGGGGGGCATCTTTGCACCACATAATTTCTATTTAATTTACAACATAAATTCCAATTTACAACAACTTCCCCACGATTAATGTCATAATGTTTGACTGCAATTGGTAAATATATGTAATTACGAGCAGTAAATATATGTAATTACGAGCAGTAAATACAAAACCTTCAAATTTTCAAACATTGTACGATAATAATAATAATACTTCAAATTTCTATGCATGACATATGCAATTAGTCATGTACATAATACATATAACACACATAATATCAACAAATCTCTATTCAAAACTGTTCGCTTCTCATATTGGTAATACAGATACAGGGAGATTATGCGGATTTCGGTGTTGTCCCTTATTTATCCTGCGAGACCTCCGACACTCAAACTCATAGTTCGCGTTCTCTTGTTGAGGGTTGGCTCTCTCATGAGATTCATCTCCAGTTACTGTGGTATCTTCATTCAAATTGTCCTCTTCATTGAGGATAGCTTGTTTTTCTTCACCTGGGGTAGGCCTACTCAAATCCGAGGGTTCCCACAAAAAGGCGAAGTAGGGATTGTTTCCATCTGTAGTAGCCAGCGATTTTTGTTGTGAACTCACGTGCTCCCTTGCTTTGGCCTGTGGATTAAGAACTAGTACCTCCTCTCGTGGGTCAATGATCAACAGCCTTCTGTTAACAACCCTTGTTGGTCCTCCTAGCATAGGACGGATTTTGTACACATCACCGGTCTCGTTAACTGCGGTCACTATGAAAGGATCCCTTAAGACCTTGTCGGCAAGTTTATGACGGCCTTCAAAAGCACATTTCTTCAGTAGCACCCTCGTGCCGATGCTGAGTGGTGAACTCATTGGGAGGGCATCATGCCTTGTCTTTTCACTTTTCAGAATCGTCTCCATATTTTGTTTTGCAACCATGTGCGCCTGTTGGAGTGACTTTGAATGCTCTGTCACAAAGTCTTCATCCCAATTTGCTTGTCCATTCCCGATCAGTTGGTCTAGCGGGGTATGGGGCTCTCGCCCATATAAGAGTCGGTATGGCGATAGTCCTGTCGTCCCATGAGGTGTACAGTTGTACAGGAATACTAATTGATGAATAAGACCAGGCCACTTCCTTCGGCGATCTGGCTCAAGTGAACGGATCATACTGCACAAAGTTCGGTTGAACCTTTCTGTTTGCCCGTTGCCTTGTGGGTAGTAGGGTGTGGTGTGTGTTTTCTCAATACCATACAGCTTGCACAATTCCCGGACTAGAGAACTTTCAAAGTTTCGTCCCTGATCTGAGTGAATTCGCAGCGGAGCACCATAGTGGACATTCCAACCATCAATCAAGGCACGTGCCGTAATTATTGCAGTTTGGTTTTTGCAGGGAATTGCTTGTGCAAACTTGGTAAATGCATCAGTAATTACCAAGACATCTTCGTATCCACCTTGACCTTTATCCAGTTTCAAGAAGTCGATTGCGATCAATTCAAGGGGCTTGAATGCCAACAGATGTCGTCTTGGAGTTCGTAATGCTGGTGTTGGCGTCTTAGATGCAATGCAGACAAAGCACTTCTTGACGTGTCCTCTCACATCACTACACATGCCTGGCCAGAAGCATCTCTCTCGCAGAATTGCCAAAGTTCTGTTAATTCCTTGATGGCCCCATTGGTCATGAGCCATCTGTAGCATCTTCTCTTGG